AGCAGTGCATTCTGATTGGCTGGGAATTTAATCACTTTACAGTTTGCACAGTAGTTCACTTTAAATGGGAAAAGAAAAATGACACTCCAGACTTGTGTAGCTGGTTAGGACATGCTGTCAGTGTAAGGAAAGGGAAGCTGGAATAGCTGAATGAATATAATAAATCCACACAGTTGAGCTCAAATATTTCTGTGGCTAAAGGTGATTTCAAACATTCATCAGAATATAAAAGACTGATAACGTAACGTAAGTGTGTGAACGTGGGCTGACTAAAGGTCAGGTCGACTGGTGTGTTAAATTCAGACGGTTTAACAGTGACATCAGTATTAGAGCAGACTGAACCGCGTTTTCATCACACCCCTGAAGCTTGTTAAAAACCACACGCACACACACACACACACACACACACACACACATGTTGTGTTTCCATCAGAGACATCTCTGATGCTACTGAAGTCGACATGAAACGCTTTTCACGAGTCATTTCACGCTGACGTAATTCTGAGAGAAACCAGACATGCAATAAGAGGAAAAATGTAGGATAAGACTTGCTTCTGTCCATCAGGAATGGATGTGATCGTAAAAAGCAAAATAGTGTCTGACTGAATGAGTTGGGAAATGGTAGAAGGCTGATCATTGTTTTAAGATTGTTTGAAAGATTAAGTTATTACAACTAAAATTAAAATGAAAACATGGTGATATTAAAATAAAAGCTAATTAATAATAATTTTAACTACAAATTATGAAAAAATATATTATATTAATTAAGATTATATTGCATTGTTTATTAATATTTTTAATGTTTTTATTTTTATATTTTAGTTATTTTATATTTTAGTTTTCTATTTTACATTTTTGTATTTTGCTATTTTTCTATTTTAATGTTGTTAGTTTAAAAGTTTTAGTAATTTGACTGTTTGATTTTGTTGTTTTTTCCTCACTTTTTTAATGTGTATGTAGTTTTTTATTTATTTTTTATTAAACCATTTTTTACTCTAGTAAATTGCTAGCAATTTGCACAGATAATCACAAATAATTTCCAAGTAATTTGTTGAATTAAACAAGAAATTTTGACATAGAAAGACTGAAAATAGTATTTTCTTGTAAAACACTCCAATAATCTTTTTTATTTACTATATATACAGTGTATATATATATATATATATATGGTTTTAGTTTTAATTAGTTTTAGTTAGCTTTAGTGAAAATTGTAGTCAGTAATGTAATCTAGGTCACTTTTTTAGGTATTGTATTCTGGAAAACCCACAGACTTTCAGTTTATATACATGACATTGACATGGCCATTCTATACTGTGAATATTGAAAGCTAAATTATTAGGGCTGGGCAAAAAAAAAAATCGATTTTTCGATTAATCGTTTTTTTAAAATGACGTCGATTTTATATCGATTCTCAAAAGCCGCGAATCGATCTTTTCCGGGATTTATTTCAACACACATTTAAAACAAGATCTGATTAACGTCAATCTTATCATTAGTCTTCTCCACTAGATGTCACCCTTATTTACCTTGCGCGATGTTACAACAGAAATCCTGTCATTCATTCAGCGCTTATCATGGCCATACGCGTGATTCGCAATGCTCAGGTGAAATGCTATAGTAATACTATAAATCTTAACAGTAAACCTCTGTTGTGCAGCACTTTGTTTGCCAAAAGATAAATTAAATTAATATCTTATGCCTTCATCTGATTACCAGAAAAATTAAGAACATTTTATAGGGCCCTATTATTGTTTAAAAAAGGACCCATACAAAAAATAGTATAGGTTTAAAATAAAGGCATTTGGTTCTTAATTTCTTTTTATTAATTCACCATTTGTAAACTGATGTTTACTGTTCATTTTTTAGAAATATCAATAGCATTTGTATTAAAACTATATTCACTGAATGTAATTAAAAAATCGAGAATCGAATCGAATCGAGAGCTTGTGAATCGAAATCGAATCGAATCGGGACATCTGAATCGATACCCAGCCCTATAAATTATATGACACACAGTAGAATATTTAGGGGAGAAAAGAATTAAGGAGAATAAATAAATTATGAAAAATCGACTGCCACTGTGTGAATAATCTATAATCATGTAATCTAAAAAAGTAACTGTAATCTGCATTTTAAAACAATACATTCTAATTACAAATACTACATTTTTGGAATCTGATTACATAATCCAGATTACATTTAATCAGTTATATTACACACACACACACTCACACATTCTCACATACATTTAATATTTATTTATATTTTTATGTCAAGTCTTACTTTATAATGATACATTTTCACAATGTTATATCAAATTACAGTAACTTTCTCCACTTTTTTTTGTGAGGGCGGGAAAATAATATTAACCAAGATACCTGTGGAAAACTCGCCGGCAGGTGTTGTAGGTAGTTGCTAAGGTGTAGTTGTTAACATGTTGCTAGGCAGTGGCTCGCATCCCTCTTTCACTGTAAGTCTGTGGGTTCATTCCTACGATCCGTCCATCCCAATCATCACAGCACTTTTACTAACTGTCGCCTGCATCTCCATGACGACCGTCCGCTGCTGATATTCTGAGTAGAGAGTGGCGTTCAGTCTATAAATAACCAGACAGACGGTTCGTCCCAACAGTACAGCTGATTTGACACATTTCTCCAAACTCAGGTCACTGTTCTCAAAACAGTTCATCTGAACACTTTGAATACTTTTCCTAAACAGATTGAACATTTCAATTCATTTCATACAAATTACAAATCACGCAAATCATTTTCTCCAAACAATGTGCACAAAACTCTGAAATGTTTTCACAATAGTTAATACAACCAACCAATACTTTAGTTTAAAATATCTGGGGAAAAAAACATTTTACACAAATCACAAACTTTTATGTACCATTTGTCCAAACGCAACAAACAAAACTCTGTAGTTTGTCATTCGATCAAATGAACATGGTGTATTTTCGATTGGCTCTAAACTGATAGCTATTCGGTTAATCATACACTCAACACAAGAAATGCAGTTTTCCTAATCGTTTACACATTTATCACAATTGCTTCAGAGTAATAATAAAAGAGAAAGTATACAAAGAGCAAGAACAAATATGCAAATAATGATGATAATAATAATAATAAAATATGTATGTGTGTATAGTGGTGGCCAAAATGATTAGAACACTAGAATTTTCACCAGCTAAAAAAGTCATATATATGTGACCCTGGAGCACAAAAGCAGTCTTAAGTCGCTGGGGTATATTTGTAGCAATACATAAATCTCCATTTCGAAAAAATTGACCCTTATGACTGGTTTCATGCTCCAGGGTCACATATATGATCTGTAGTTATCAGAAAAGTTTGTTTGCAGTTCTTGCTGCTAAAGATGACACAAACAGATTTTAAGTTTAAAGGGGCAATTCATAGATTTGATGTTAATATTTACTTTTAATAAATGCATTAGTAGAAAAAATTGCAGTGCTTCATTTTGCAGTAAAGTTGAACTGTTTGGTTTAGATAAGCTTGTGTTTGGATGGCTGTGCTAATTGTTTTGAGAGCAAGTACATTGCATTGGAGAAAAGTGTCAAATCGACTGAGAAAAACTGTAACTGGTCTGTCGATGAATCAGACAGAAAATGATGGAGGATCAGCATCTGACAGCACAAACTCTGATTATATACATACTCAACAATAAATACTCAACAGGTCCTGTGAGACAGAGAGATGGATGCTTTTCACACAGATATTCATCTTTTTATCAACACTTTACAAACTCACCCGTACAGTGCATTAGAAGAAACTGAGTTTCCGAGAAAGAGTGCTATGAGAGAAACACCAGAGTGATGAATAAAAGAGAAGCGCAGGAACAGACTGTTTGATCCTACACCGAAAACTAAAGTATATGTCATTCATAGAAAGTGACAGAAAATGCAACGTTATAAACTTACATCAAAGAAGCGGCAGACAAACTCTGTGTGTGTGTGTGTGTGTATGTGTGTGTGTGTGTGTGTGTGTGTGTGTGAGATGCCTTTGAAGTTTAAACACTGACTACTGAAGTCTCTCTCTTTCACTCGCTCTCAGGAAAACATGGACAAACGTGTTTATTATTGAACTTCAAACTCCCAAAAACCTGTCATGAACATATTCATATTTCAAAATAAAAAAGTTCAAAATAAAGTTAATAAAATATTCATTTAAAATAAGAAGAAAATATATTTTGTATGAAGACAATATATCCTGTTATAAGGCATCAATATTTATTTATTTCAACAATAACAATGTAATTATATATATATATATATATACATACACGCACACACATGAATGTGTGTATCTAAAATAAATTATAAATAATTATTATATAAAACAATAATATTACATATTAATGTATTAAAAATTATATAAATATATATTTTTATAAAATATAAATTATATAAAAATATTAAGTATTATTATCATTATTACGATATTATCATAATAGAACTTTTGTAAAATGTAATTTATTCCTGTGATGGCAAAGCTGAAATATTAATTAATTATTCATTCATTTTAAATGTCTAAGTATTTGTTGTCAATGCTGTATGAATTGAAAAGTCTTAAATTTATGCAGGGATCTATCAAATGCAGTGTTTTTATATTACATATTATAAAATGTTATATATAGTATAAACAGATATTTATATATTTTATAACACTAATGAGAATCATCACTAGGAATAATTCGAATGACAAAACACAGAAAAGTTAAACACCTGGATGTATTACAGTAATAAAAATTTGGAGGGGAAATATTGTCATGACAATAATCTCTCAATGCAAAAATAATAATAATAATAATAAAATCTAATGCTGATTTTTTTCCTATTGTTTGCATTTCTTTTAATTTTGGGGTGAAATATGACTTGTTGGTGGTGTTGTTTGTCTTTTCTTCTCATTCTTTACAGTGTTATGTAGTATATTTTTTGTGCAGTTACCGTATATGATACTGAACTCTCTCTCTCTCTGTCTCAGTTTGTTCGCAGTATTCACGAGGAGTCTTTGCGATCTTTGGCCTGTACGATAAGCGTTCGGTGCACACTCTGACGTCGTTCTGCAGTGCGCTGCACATCTCTCTGGTGACGCCCAGTTTCCCCGCCGAGGGCGAGACGCAGTTCGTGCTTCAGCTGCGGCCCTCCATCCGCGGCGCGTTACTGAGCCTCCTGGACCATTACGACTGGAGCCGCTTCATCTTCCTGTACGACACCGACAGAGGTCAGAAACACACACACACTCATCCTTCAGCAAGTTATCAGAACTAAAATTACAATCAAAACCAATGATATTAAAATAAAAGCTAATTCTAATAATGTTAATAACAGATCATGATAACGTCAATGTTATTTGAATTCAGATAATATTGTATTTATTTATTTTTTATATTTTCTATATTTTCTATTTTAATGTTAATGTTAGTTTAAGTTTTAATAATTTGAATTAATGTGATTTTGTTGTTATAGTT